CTACCGCAAACTTTTAACTTTTAATATTTGCCCGTCCTTAATAATTTACGTCAAACGGTTTTTTCAGTGAGTGAATTTGTTTAATTATTCCATGTTAATTAATAAAATGAAAAAAAAATTTTTTTTTCAGCCGGGTCGTTAAAAACCGAGGAACGAAAGTTGGAAAAACCTAACCAACTTTGTTTCTATAAATTAAATTATAAATTTAAAACAAATAACAGTGGAAATATAGATGCGAAGTAAAAAGTTTTACTGGAGAAGATGTTGCAAAGAGAGAAAGACAACTGCGGTCAAATGATTCGGCAAGTGCTTGATACTTGTACAAAACTTTTAAAATAATCATAATTCTGGACTCGAACCGCATGCAATTATTTCCCGGGTGAAATTCCACCTGCGGTAATTTCGATCGTTTTCGACAAAACCGTTACCCTAGCCACTAGTGTCGCACTATTTATATTTTTTAAATTGAAAATAGGCATGAAAAATTAAAAATTTTATTTTTTTATTCATTTAACTGTCACTTAATTCAACTAGGTACACAATTTTCAAATAAAAATAAAACTCACCACTGTTTTTTTTTTTTTTTGTGTCAATCACTTGAAAGTAAACCAAATCCCAAAATTTGACAAAAATCAAAAACCGATTTTCACTGGAAAAATCGTAAGTTATTAGCGAGAGATAAGAATTAAATTTGAACATACACACACGATAAAAGTTTGAATTAAAGAGTTAGAGATGGAGAGAGTCTGAGACTGCCTTCCATCGAGAGACGCGCGAAGCGACTGAGCTGTTAAAGTCCCCACTGTACACAGAGACTACCGAGTTTGAGTCTACTGCCGGTCGGCGCACCCGCTCTCATGGACCGCCGATTCCAGGTCGATCATTCACTAATGTTATTATTTAACTTTATTTCGATTCAAATTATTTTTACTCGTTAACTTCCGGCTTTTCGTTGCGGGACACGAAAAAACTGTTAAAAATCTGTTTAATTTATACCCAATTACTAATTGATCACTAATGCTAATTCGTTAATTTTTAATCAACACTTGGGACACATTTTCAATGCTGGATAATGTTTATTTATTATTTATGATGCTGAAATTGAGAGACATTTGATAATTTTTTTTGCACATAAATTATAGCGAGAAAAATTTATTTAATAAATTCTTATGTTTAGAAGCTCTAACAAATTATAAACGCAATTTTTATAAAATAATACCATTGATTTAGTTTATTTTTTAAGAAAAATCGAAATGAAAATTGATTTGTAAGATATTTGATAATTTTAATAATTTTTTTAACAAATAAATCGTGGCTAAAAAAAAATTGATATGTAGAAATTTTTAAAAGTTAAAAATGGAATTTTTTAAAAATAATTTTTCCGAAGAAATTCGTATGTTAAAAAAAAATTAAAAAATGGTCAAATGACTGCCAACTTTAATATCATAAAATAAAAAAATTGTCAAGTATCTCCCAATTTTAATATGTTATGGCATCATTATTTAAATTTTATTATTAAAAATTTCCAATGTTTTCTACGAAAATAGCGATTATCTAACTCGACTTTTGAGTGATCTGGTACGAGCTGTAACTTGCTCTCGCTCTACGCTGACCGCTGACACCGTACGTAGTAGTACAGACATTGCCAAAAACACACAAGCGATTCTGACAAAAAACAAATCTACAATTCTTTAGACTTTCGCCATCTGTCATCTGATAAACAAAAAAAATTTATTCAGTTTCTTGAGAAGAACAATGAACATTTTTTGACAGAATTTTAAGAATACTGTGAATTGAAAAAATCTTTAACGAAAACTACGTATATGAAATAAAAAATGAAATACATTTAAATAATTTTGCGGGTCAAAAATGAATACAATCATTTTAAATTAACAAACTTTCGTGACTTTAAAGAATCTGGGTTATTATTTAGTGTATAATCTCTCTCATGGTTATATCTTTTTGTTATAATAATTAATATTCACTGAGTCAAATCATGTCAAGTGGACCCCCCCCCCTTTACCACTTGATGATAGAAATCTTACTAAAATATAATTATCGAAACCAGTCATACCTATAATAAAAATCATCCCTCAAAACAGTTTTTGAAAATTTTGAATTTAACAACAATTTTTTTTACAATAAAAATTTTCGGAAGGTGTCAAATATCGAGACAGGTATATTAATCCATAAGAACAAGCTACAATAAGTAAGGAAATAAAAATTTAACAGCATTATCTAAGAATCAAAAGTATATATATGAAGGAAGATAAGTTATAAGCATAAGATTCAATATATATGTATACTATAATATATATTAGCAGCGTCGTCACAGCTTAAACTTTTGTCTCATACTACTATTCTACGTTAAGAACAACTACTTTAATTATTTTATCACATAATTTAATCAGCTTTAAGTCAAAAAGATCATTTGCACATACACGTATATGAACAAAAGCGAGCTAGGAATAAACAGAACAAAGTTTTAACTCAATATACTGTTTAAAAATTTAACTTTTGAAGAAATAATTGCAGCTAATTAATTTCCAACTATTAGATTCTTCAAATAAAAATATTTTATTATTAAAAAAAAAGAATGTAATTGATGCATTATTTTAAATATAAAAATTATTAATAGCTAAATTTTTGCATTCTTTAAAAAAGTACTAATTCATAAAATTTAATTGGCTTTATTAAAAAAATTAAAAAACTAAATCTTAAAAATTATATTGATCTATATACTCTTGAAGAAACTAATTATGAAGAATAAGTCTTTAATTAATTTTTTTTATAAATTCAAAAAATAAAACGAAATACTGAAAAAAATATTTTGGAAAGAAGTTGATAAAATTAAAAACCAAAAAGTAATTATCTGCAGCGGCGATGGCCGGTAAAATAAAAATTCGATTGCTTTCCGTGATCATTTTTCTTGACAATTTTCTATCAAATATCCAAACGATCTCACTAGATATCAAGAGTGACAAAGTTTCTAATCCGGATTTATACTTAGAAGATTGATTATTATAATCAACACTTTGTTGCTTATAATAAAAATTTATTTTTATATAGGATGAATACTTTTTAAATATGTATTTTCTCGATAGTAAAGTCAATACCTCAACCTATGGTTAGAAAAAAAAAACTCAGCGTGTTTATTTAATACACATATTTATTGAACTTTTAAATAGTTACACCCAATTTTCTTATTGACTAGTTACACGCACATATACTATTTAAAAATGAATGTGTATACATTAAGCATGAAAAGATGTTGAGCATTATTTTAGGTGGCGCTATCAATATACATCAACACGCAACACACTGTTAATGAAGTAGTATTAGTGCTGTTGCTCTGCCTGCGTGCATCGGGCGAATAATATGAAAAAATAACTTCTATTTTTTATTAAAATAATCAATCTACAGAGTATCAATACCGATAACAAAGTTTGTAAGTCACATTAAAATTCTAGTGAGTTTATTAAAACGGATAATTATTTTTTCAATTTACTATCTTTGATCTGATATTAAGTTAATCAAAAAAATTAATTTGTTTTTATGATTACTTATATAATCAAATTTTTAAATATTTTGTTAAATTTCATTCAATCAAAAATAAATTTTCATTAAGGCAGGGCAATGAATCTGTTAAAACTTGTATCAACAGATCACGGGAAAGAGCCATCGAGAATTTACAGTGATCAAGGATGCAAACAGGGAGAATTCTGGTTCATGGCTGCGTTGAAAATCAACGACGAGCAAAACTGAGATGGTTCCATAATTGAAGAAAAATATATTTTTATAACAGTTTCATTGTGTTTCACACTTACCCGATGGAAAAGTAGACAATATGATATAGCAACAACGAACATAATAAATTTGCAATTTGGAGCTGACAAGAACATCCCGTTGACAAAATCTAGTTTCACCAAGACTACGACAATGCAGATTTGCTACAATAACATGTACAATTTCGACGCTAAAAAATCTATTTTTATGACCGTAGCTGATAACGTCAGTGCGATTCGATGCTAAACAAAAATTGATTACTTTGCATCAAGACCGGCCAAAAACGGTGAATACGCGATTGCTATTGGTTGGGAATTCAATATAAGTTCACACTATAAGCTCTTCATTATACAAGAGACATTTTAATTTCAGCAATAAAATTTCTTTACATTGAGCATTTTTTTTAAGAAATATATTCCTGTATATATATATATAGATAAATTTCATTGATAAAAGCTGGAGCTCGGTTCAATGAGTAAGAGAATTATCGAGAAATAAAATAATTAAAAATGATACAGTTACATAAATAATGTTACATTGGAAAATCCTCATTTGAAAAAAAGATCTCTCTTATCAAATTTGGTAAAAAAATTCAATGTGCAAGCGGTTTTGTCCTTGCTGAAAAAATTAAATTTTTTTACGGTAAATAGTTTATGCCTCGAAATCAAATTCTACAATTCAACCATTTTTAAAGCATCAAAAATTAATATGAAATATTGAAAATTGTATTTAAGAGCAGCGTTTTATTAATCAAATAATAAAATTAAACAGGATGGCCATAGTGAAGGCTTTTACCTTACAGTGATATTATTTTTAAAAGTGTTAACATCATGTACATCGTGATTAAGCTTTTAAAATAATCATTGAGCTAAAGTTTTTTCAATCATAAATTTTAATTCTCGGCAGTCAGATAATGAATGCAGGTAAAGCCAGTAGATTTATTGATGTGATATTGAATACCACATTCAACTATCAGGATAGATTAAGACACTCTTATCTATACTACTTTAGGTGTGGATAACAATTTTCTGATCAAAAAGTTTTAGGATGATTTAGGGAACTATTGAAATTCTTCCACAAATAGAAAAATTGAATAGATATATTTCTTATTTCTTATTCTCATGTTAGTTGAAACATCTTTCTTGATTAATTTCGAATCAAAACAGTATTTAAATGAAAAATAAGTTATAATTTTGAGTTATTATATTCATAATCTATTCATAATATAGAGGAACCTGGGTGAAAACATCTGGATTACCAAGAGCACAAAGGATTCCCCATGAAACAAGTCCAACCAATTTTCCGTCTCTGGTGATCAACGGACCGCCACTGTCGCCATTGCAAAGACCTTGTCCTCTTGGTGCAACTGTGCAAATTCGACCCATCCAAACTCTGTCTCGCAAATAGTTTTCACAAACTGAAGCCTCCATTGTATTCAAAGATACCTTTTTCAATTTTCTACTGGTGAGACGAGGATGATCTTCAGTATATCCCCAACCAACACTTAATACACTATGACCACTTCCTATCGGATATTGTTGAAGAGCAATCCATGTTTGTTCGGCGTCAAATTGAACGGGCCGTTTCAGCTACGGTCAAAAAAATAAGTTTCTTAACATCATCAAAATCCTAAATAGTTAAAGTATTGATATAATTGATAGGAATTATTATAACCTTAAGTATTGCGACATCATGAAGTGAAGCCGGATCAAAACTGTTGTAGTAACGGTGAATCCATAGTCTTTCAACACCATGTAGCTGTCCTCCATATTGCGAATCTATTGTGTGACTTCTTACCCCCAAAATATCTAATTGTATCTGCAATACACATTATAACCGGATGTTATTGTTTTAATAGAAACTTTGGGTATTTTTCTTTACAATCACGTGCATGAAACCTGGTGTTAAGTAATTTATTTATTTGTAATTAATCATCAAAATTGTTGAAGATCAAGAATTTTCAATTTTCAATAATTTATAACTCAGAAACTATCAAATTACGGCAAATTTTATAAGAGTAATTTTCATCTTAAAATTGTCTAAAATATTGAAAAAAAAAATATCCGGTCTCAAAAAAAATTATTTCTCAAATAATTGTTTAAACAAATGGCTATAAACAATAGATGGCCCGGGATTTCTCAAAAATGACTGCGATATTCGGTATAAGCGGGTTAAAATACATTAAGTAATCATATTTTGTACACCGTCCTCAAAATTTTACGAAAAGATAATACAGCGCCTACATTACTATCTGAAGAGTAGCTCAGTTACTTCTAGTAGCTGAATGGTACGCTCTGGGACTGACATGCAGGAGGATCCCGGTTCGAATCCCCAACATCGCCAATTGTTTTTCAACGATAATTCGACTTTAAATCACGGAAAATTGATATAAAATACATAATTTCTAATTTCCAAGTAGAAATAAAATAAATTTTACTATTATTTTTGTTTATAAACTTTTTTATAAATTGATTCTGTTTCAATCGAACCAGATCTGAACAGATCAGATTTGATCTAATCAGATCTGGCCAAAATGCAGATCTGCCCAGATCTGATTTGATCAGAGCAGATCTAAACTTTTTTTCCCGGGTGAGTTAGGTTTACAAAACAATGAGCTGCAGTCAAAACATATTTATATCCAATAATGGAACCACCACATATATGCAGGCCAATTAGAGTTAGGGAAACGACGAATCAGTATTCTCCCTCTCTGCACCAATCACCATTATAAATTTTCGATGGCGCTTTCCCATAAACTGTTAACATAAATATTTAAAAAATTCATTGCTCTATATTAATTAATAGATATTTATGTCATAAGGCCGTGAAGTGGCGGTTTTCTGACAGCGACGATATTTCGATATGAGCTTAAGGTTTGTGGCGGAAAGGTTCGAAACGGGCGCAATTTTAACGTCCGAGGCGTAGCCGAGGACGGAAATTTACGCTCGTTTTCGAATATTCGCGTCACAAACATTAAAGCGAATATCGAAAAAAAGTCGTTGTCAAAATCGCCACTAAACGGCCAAATGACATATACAATATTTTTTGTTATTATTGCTCCATAAGTTTAACTTTTGAGGGATAGGAGGCAAATAATGACATATTTAAATTTTAGGAAGTTTCACAAGGCCAAAAAAAAATTAATTTTATATTAATTATCTTTTTATTAATCTTAAAATCTTGCTCACGTCCAGAAAATGTAGATAATTTTTTATTAGTATTTATTTATGGCGTTTCTGTTATTTTATTAACATTAGGTCCGCTTCGTAATAAACTGCCAGCAGAGAAATAATAAGCGCCACTCAATAGTAACTAAGACTAAAAATTATCGGTCGGTACGCTAGAATGTGACTTTTTTTTTTACAATGTCTCTCAATTTCGTCTGGGTGTACATGAAAAGTTCGTAAAAAAAAGGAGGGGGTAAAAGGAAGAGGCCTAGGCCGTGAAAAAAAGACGGTATGGTAGAGGCTCTAGAAAGGGAGAGTCCCTTTACGGACGCCACCCAGCGCTCAGAAGTTGAACTTCTGGAGCGAGTATAACAAAAAACTTATTTTTAGTTAAACTTGATAAGATTTTAAAAAATTTCATTGTTACAGTTATAATAAAAACAAATTTATTTTTTTTTTTGTTAATGTCAGATTAAAGTAGTAGGTAAACCAAAATAGTAATTACCTGTTGTGGTGAACACCAAAAAAATAAACGTTGGAATGCTTTTAGTGATCATTTTTCTTGATGATTTTTTATCGAGTACCCAGTTGTCTAAACTCACTAGAATTCAAGTGTGACAAACTTTGTTATCCGTATTTATACTCTTGAGATTGATTATTTTAGTTAACACTTTATCAGAAACAATAAAAAAGTTATTGTTTTAAATTATTATGAATCCGATTGTAATTTATTGATAGCTCAATTGATAATTATGTTAAAAAGACCTGTTGAGTTCTATTTTCAGTCATAGATTAAGTCATCGTCTTAATTATGTAAGAATTATTCATTTCTAAAATAATAAGTCTTCCAAATTTACAGACTAGTCTGAAAAATTTACAAAATTTGCCATATTATTAGAGTAGTGATAGAAAAATCACACAATCTTTAGGAATACTATACTGTACTGTTTTTTTACCAGCTAAAAATTTTCTTAAGAAAATAATATTTGAGCTGTAGTTAAGAATTTTAATAGAGTTTAAACATTTCAAGATCAAAAATATGTATTTTCGATCATACCTTATTAGCTTTTAACAACAAAATAGATAAATTTTTTAATATATAAACTTTTTTTAGACATGGAAAAATGGTCTTATATAAGTATTTTAATAGGACATAAGACAGTAAAATATCATCATTAGCCTTCTATTTTTTGAAAACAATGAACAGTATCATGTTCTGAAGACCTAGCGGGATCGAATATAACATATTATAATGTAAAGAAAGGAGAAATTGCTGATTAATGATGAATGAAACAACAAAAAACTTTTGGATATACAAACAAAACTGGAAAAGACGTAATTAAAAAAGGTAGAAAAAAATCTAGCCATTTGGTTATTCCATTAAAGACGATGTCCTTCCTACTTCTATTCTCCCCGGATGTTATTCTCTCTCAACCGGTCGAGAGCCGTAGGCGACCTTCATTCTGGCCTTTAACCACATTCCACTAAAACTCGATAAACATCATGTATATATGTATACTTACTAAGCTTTTACATTTATTTTGTTTCTAATCAATATTAAGGAAATCCTTTCGCTCCAGTTGAGTCAAAACAATTGTAGTAGTCAATATACGATAAATTAAAAAAAGAAACCCATAAAAATTCCTAAAATTAAATAATAAATAGTATATGAGGCATTAATCGTTGAAATTTTGAAAATAAAAAAAAATAGTTAATAATAATTAATAATGATATTATAATAAATGACATTATATAATTATAATTATTGTGGTTTTGACCGCAACAGGTAATTATTATTTTGGTTTACTATTTTTAATCAGATATTAACAAGAAAAAAAAATTAGAAAAACGGTTTACCCTAAAGGCCATCCCTGCAACTTCCCGCTCATTATGTACTTAAACGCTTCAAACTACACATTACGTTTTTGAGCTCTTCGAGCTCAAAAATATTATTTTTGTGTCAATTTAAGCTCTTCGAGCTCAAAACTCTAATAGCAGTTTAAAAACACAATTTTTTTAATTTTCAAACGGCAATAACTTTTGAATGAATGAACCGATTTTCACGCGGTTGGTGGCAATCGACGCAGTTTTTGAAGCTCCATGAAAAATTTTCAAGTTTAAATCGATCGAGCCATTAATTTCGAAGTTATTACAAAAAAACACTTTTTTCGATGTTTTTCGACAACGATATCTCACGAACGCATCAACCGATTCTATTGTTTTTGGTGGCGATCGATGGGGGTTTTCAAGGTTAAGAGCTGATTAGTTTTTGAGACCGATCGGTTCAGCCAATTCGGAGATATTTAAAAAAAATAAAAAAAAACAACTTTTTTTTCACTTTTTTTGCATTTTCTCGAAATCTACCGGTCCGAATCGGTTCAAATTTTCAGGAAATCTAAGATTAGTGAAGCCCTTTCGAATGACACCAACGGCGATGAAATCAGTCAAGTTGTTCAAAAGTTACAAGAGGTTTACACACACACACACAGACGTACGGACATCATCGTAAAAATAGTCAGGGAAGCTTCCTGTGACCTTCAAACGTCGAGATCTGATGAAAACTCGATTTTTGTAAAACGGGGTGAAAACAATAACTTCCCGATTTTTGAAAATCTGAGTTTTTTAGCGGGAAGTTAAAAATAAATTTGTTTTTATTATAACTGTAACATGGACATTTCTTTTATTAATAAGTTTTAATTAAAGCAGAGCAATAAATATTTCAATATTTATGTTAACAATTTATGGGAATGAGCCTTCGAGAATTTACGGTGGTGAAAATTCCAAAGTGGGAGAACACAATTTCTTTGTTTCTTTGACTGAAGACGAGAGAACTTTCTGTGGTGCTGCGATAATTGATGATAGGCATGTCATAACAGCAGCTCACTGTGTTGCAAACTTTACTGACATAGATGTAAATAATACGGCAATAAGTATTAACATAACGGATTTGCAAATTGGAGGTCAAAATTACAGCATAAAAAAAATTTTCATTCACCGAAACTATAACGAAACAGACCCCGCTTCACACAATGATGTCACAATATGTCGGGTAATAATAATTCCTATCAATGATATCGATACTTACATTATTTAGGGTTTTGATGATGCTAATAAACTTATTTTTTGACCGTAGACGAACGAGACAATGCAATTGGGCGCTAACCAGCAAAAGTCTGTTTTTGCTCTTCCAATTGCTCTTGCATCAGGACCGACCGAAAGCGGTAAAAATGTCACTGTCGTTGGTTCTGGAATCACTGAATCTTATCCGAAATACCTCAGTGAGACCTTGAAGAAGCTTTCTGTGAAGACACTGGCAATCTCAGAATGTCAGAAGTATTTTGAAGACAAACTTTGGGACGGTCAAATTTGCACAATTTCACCAATAGGAAAAGGTACTTGCCTTGGCGACAGTGGCGGTCCAGTGGTCAACAGTGAAGGAGAATTGGTTGGAATTATTTCATGGGGAATGCCGTGTGCTATAGATTATCCAGATGTTCACACCAATGTCTCTTATTTCATTGACTGGATTACAGACATCATAAATTACTATTAACTTTTTTTTCATTAAAATACTGTCTTGATTCAAACTAAATCAGGGAATATGTTATAATTAACATGAGTAAAAAAATATATTTATTCAATATTTCGATTTGTTGAACAATTTCAATAATTCTCTAAATCATCCTAAAATTTTTTGATCAGAAAATTCTTATCCACACCTAAAGCAGTATTGATAAGAGTGTCTTAATCTATCCTGATAGTTGAATATGGTTTTAAATATCACATCAATAAATCTACTGGCTATACCTACATTCATTATCTGACTGCCGGGAATTGAAATTTATGATTGAAAAACCTTTAGCTCAATGATTATTTCAAAAGCTTAATCACGATGTACATGGTGCTAATACTATTGAAAATAATATCACTATATATAGTATTTAAGAGCAGTATTTTATTAATAAAATAATAAAATTAAACAGGATGGCCATAGCGAATCAATTAATCTTTTACCGTATAAGGTACGTAATATTTCATATTAATTTTTGATACTTTAAAAATGGTTGAATTGTAGAATTTGATTTCGAGGCATAAACTATTTACTACAAAAAAATTTAATTTTTTTCAAACAGGACAAAATTTGTTCCGATAATTAAATGTATTATATACATTTCTGATGAAAAATTCTGATGATTTGTTAGGACCATTAAAGATTAAACAATTTTTCATTGTACAAGCCTTAACTTACTATTTTTGTGAATGTAAAACTTTGTACTCTGAGAGAGTAATTAATACAAGGTCTAGACAGTTAACTCTACCAAAAATTAATAGAACACTAAGTACTAAAAATGCAATTTATATTGCAATTAAATACTTCAATCTACTTCCTATTAATCTGAAAGCGCTAAATTATAATAAATGGTTAAGAAAGCATATTGTGAGGTGGATAATATCAATTATACTTTAATTGATGATAAGTTGTATTCTGTAAAAATTTTTAAATTAATTCTTAATATACTCTGTACACTACTTACTTAGTTAATCTAATATTATGTATTAATTTTATAAATTTATTATATTTTTCTGGTATCTATGCACAAGTGCTTTCTGCACCTCTATAGAATGTTTTTACCAGAAGTAAATAAATAAATAAATAAATAAAAATAAAATAAATAAATTTAACTATCGGAATTGCAGTATTAAATATTACAATAGTAAATCTACTAGCTGAAATTTCTTAACAAATTCGACAAGAAAGATCTTATTTTCAAATGCGGATTTTCATATTAATGATTCAGTACACATCTATTTTAGGAAATAAGAGAAGTATGTCATTAGAGTGAGACAGCAATTTTTGTATTTTTGTTTTGATTTTACTTTTTTAAGTAATTATAATTCAGTCAAGGATAAATTTCTTTCGATCAAACTCATTATTAAAAGATATGATTTCGCTCTGTATTTTTTTTGTTTTTCTTTATTATTTTTCCGCAAGTTCTGGGCAAAAAATATATAAACGTGTCAATGTTTAAAGTTTACTTCTTAATAAGAGCAATGTTAAAAAATATCCATCTTAAGAGGATAATTTAAGTAAACACTCATCGGTTTATTTTGTTCGTTCAAATTTCTAAAATTGATCTGTACGAATTTAACCTGCAGATAAAAAAATCAAGTCTAACTAAAAGTTTCTACAATGCTCGTACATTCTCAAAAGAGTCAAAATTTTTTTTCTTATTCAAAAAGGAGAATTTTTTTTAAAACTTTGGAATTTCATATCCCGTTATATCTCTTATAATACGTATTTTAGTACAGCATTGAACATTCTACAAAAAAGGTCTCTTATAACTTTTCGATAAATTTACTTCTAAAGTTATTTAAGGTTGAAGTTAAACTTAAAATTTTATCGTTACGACAAAGTTATTACTTAAAAATAAACTTTTTTATTTTTAGCTTTGTTATAAAAATATGCAATTTACATTGTTTTACAAAAGCGAGGATATTTTTATGTTAAAAAGGCTTCGAATACAGGAATGTTTCCACAAAATCGACCATGGAAAATATAGAGAAAACAATATTTCCTTGGTGATAAATTTTCGGGAAGAAGTAATCTAAAATCCTCAGAATTCTCTGTATCAGTAGTGAACGTATCGGATATAAATCTTTTGACACGAAAGCCGTGAGATCTTTACCAAGGCAACATAAGGGTCTTATATATTCTTTACTGCCTTTATTTTCTCAACTGCAGTACTGTTAAATCCGTCTAATATATACATACATATAGCACGTTTCAGTTTCTATTTATTTTATGTTTCATCCGAATTGCCGAGTATCCGAAACTAGTCTACGATACAGATGCAACTCGCATTAATTGGTAGCGCAGCTAAATTATTTGAAATTTCCAAACTAAATACACGGGGATTTAGCTCGAGTTTCTGGATTACTCTCAAAAAGTATGCTAATTTATCGCAGAATTACATATTCCAACAATTTGATAGTATAATAACTTAAACAAAACCGACTAATGTAATTCAAGTTCTTTATTTCTTCTAAACTTAATGTATTTTATTCTAGTAAATACTGAAAAAATTACTTACTAGCAACCTGCAGTCGCTATGTGACTCCCGAAATTAACGAATTATAAAGAAAAAAAAACTTTAGCTAAATGATTTTTTGTTATTTCTAATCGCACTCTCCATAGTATGAGTACTTTTGAAACAAATTTTAAAAATAATAGTGCTATGACGGGATCAATTACAAATAATTTAATGGATAAATGTGACGGAACTAATTTATAGAACCAACAAATTCTTAAAAACTCCTCCAAAAACTTAACATAAAAAATTGACAATCATTAAAAAATTTATAAAACCTTGAAAAAGTATAAATTCTTGTCAAGACCTTTCTAGTGATACCAAATTTAACTATAAAAGTTCCTTTTAAAATAATAATATGCTCGTCACAAAATTTTCTTTACTATCTCGATTATTTAAATCATTAATTACTATTGCTAAAAAAATATCAAACTTAATTACATAAATTAATTTTTAACATATAAACACATTTACATGCACAAAAATAAATAAATAAACAATTGACGTATACTGAGAAATTCGAATTTATTTATAACTACTTCGTAAACTTATCATAATAAATTAACTATTATTACTAAAAAATATACGAAACATTAAAAAGACACAAAGTAAGGTCAAGTAATAAAGTAGTAACCGTGCTCGGAAAGGTCAAGTGTACCTTTCCAATGATACACGGAGAGAAAAATATGGAAATCATTCCTATAATTTTAATGAAATGTTTTCCTATACCATTTAAGGAGCGATTACTTAAATTATGGAAATTGTACCCATAATTTTTGGGAAATGTTACTATAATTATGGGAATGGTTCCTATAATTAAAGGAACGACACCTATAACTGTAATATTGGCATGATTCCCATAATATTATAGTGATGATGCCTAATAATATTGAGTTATTTATCATTACAACTCACGTTATTTGTGACTTCGATGACTACTTTGAAGCATTTGAAATTATTAGTTATTTCGATAATTTTACTTTCTTCCCAATAACATCATTTGAAATATGTAAAATAAGTCATATTGTTCATATAAATATAATAAAAGTTATCTACCCAAAAGGTGGGTTTAATAAATATTCAACGTATGTATTGTAAATAAATAATTTGTTTTAAAAATAAAATGAAATTGTAAAAATAAACAATGAATTTCCATGTCTGCTTTGCTCCTCTAATTGTATAGTGAGAAAATACCCCTTTTATTAGAGAAACTTTAGAATTGCTACAATATTCTTCAATATTATCTAACACAATAATAACTAAGTTGGAAAAAACAATTTAAGATTAAGTACACACGTGAATAATGAAAGATTAATTTTTATTTACAAAAAAAAATTTATTAGCAAAAAAATATATAATAATTACTTTATATTTTTGATGTGATTGCTTCATTATTATGAACATAAACATTTTTCTATTATTATGTGCGTCATTGCCATAATATTATAGGAACCATTACCATAATATATGGAAGCTATTCCATTATTGTATAGGAATGTTTCCAATTAACTATGGATACGGTTCCCATAATAAGCATAGGATTGACACCTATATAATCATCATTTTACTATAGGAAATATTTCCATAATTTTTGGAAAGGTTCCTATAAATTTCTCTCCGTGTACTAAATCTAATTCAAAAAAATCATTTTGTCATACACAGAAAAAAAAATGTTCTTGAATCAAGTACATAATTTTGAAGAACTTAATATTCTTGATTTAAGGAAATGTTACTCGATTTAAGAATTTTTCGTCTTGATTCAAGACAATTACCCTCTTTAAAATTATATTCTTGGTTCAAGATTTTTTCTCATGAATCAAGTTAACTTTTTTTTCAATGTATAAATATGCCGGAGACAAAATTTTCCTTACTCTCTTAATTATGAAGAATAATTAATCCATCTATTTTCCAATAAGACTCTCGAATTTACCCTTCCGGAATCAATTAGATAGTGAAGTGGCATAATATTTTATCACAATATTTACGCATGTACACACAATGTCTTGAATTATTAATTAACACAGAGGGTAGAAATTCAGCTGCTTAATTTTATTTTTATTTCCTTAAATATTTCAGCGAATAGATTATTTAATTTATCATTCTCTCATTGCATTAATAAAATATACCACTGTATTGATCGATCAATCTTTTGATTAATTATACAATGGTATAACAATTAATTGGTCCGTCGTAATTAGAAGTTGTAACTCTACTCACTATTTTCTGAGTAGAGGGTTCTTCGGCTTCAATAGAAGCAACTTTTATTCAACTGCTCAAGACTGCTCGGAAAACTTGGCAAACAATACACAAGAAGGTTAATTAATTAAAGTCCTTTTCAGTCATATAACCTATTAATATTATTTTCATTTACGAGGAAACAACGAGCTAGTTTAATTCAAATTATGAAGAAGTCGTTTAAAAACAAGTAAACAAGTTATATTGCTTTAAAAAAAAAAAAAAAAAA